GGCAGCGCTGCAGATCTAAATAATATATATGTTGGTTTTTTATCAATAGAAAAATAAATGTATTCCTTTAAAAACAAAATTTAAGTGTCCCAGATTTAGCCTATGATTTCTATGATGGCTTATTTGAATAACAGCAGTTGAACAATTAGAAGAATACAATTTAAATAAGACAAAAAAAAACGTAATCAGAATGAATACAAGGAATAGAATCAGTGTTTTCCCCCCGGCAACACAACAACATTAAAGAGCTTCCACACAGCTGAGACCAGAGGAGAGACTAACTGATGGTGAAGATGGATTATCACCATCATCATCATCATGCTTCCTCCATGGAAACCTGTTAATGATCTTGGCATCAATCCACAGGCGAGCCAACTAATTAAACAAACAAATGGCAATTAGATGGAAGTCCCATAATCTACTTATGGCGAGCGGGTGGAGACAAACCGGTGCTTCTCATCATTGATCTCACTGTTAAACCTGTAGGAGGGCGGAGAATTCGCTCTGTTACTCCGTCGTAATGGGACGCCGCTTTTCTGTAGCAGGAAATGGAATCGAAATGTCAAATATTGTTGGTATTTGAAATGTTGCTGGAAGGAGAGTTTTATTGACATGGACAAAAAAAAAAAATCATACTTGGCATTTAAACTTTTGAAGTCGTAGGGAAGGCGTATTTAAATGACAAATCATTCTGGCTTAAACATGTATATGAATGTACTCTTTATCAGATGATGTAATCCTAAATTTTAGAAAATTTTTGTTTAAAAAAAAAAAATCCTGTTTTAAAATCTGGTTGTTGTTTTTTTCGTTGTCTGTCTGTCTGTCTGTCTGCATAGAGATATAGATAGATATACAGATAGATATACATAGATAGATATGCAGATAGATATACATAGATAGATATACATAGATAGATATGCAGATAGATATACAGATAGATATACATAGATAGATATACAGATAGATATACATAGATAGATATACAGATAGATATACATAGATAGATA